GAGACAGTCAGAGAGGCACGACAGCTGGGAGGAAAGCATGTCAAGAGAGCAGCTGACAGAGAGAGAGAGAGAGGGAGGGAGAGAGGACAATGACGAAGAAAAGAGAAAGATACAGTGAAATAAAAAAGTAAGAAAGAAAGACAAGAAAACAGAATGAGACGGTGTCTCCTCTACACCAGAGGACTCATAGAGAACGCACTTGAAAAACTTGGAGAATTACCAGATAAGAAATATGGTATTCACTGTTTGTGTCTCAGGCTGCTTTGTTATGTCACTGCAACAAAGACAGGTCATTTTGACAAATACATCTTGTAGCTTGTAAACTATAACCCCCCCCCGCTTCTATAATGTTCTTCTAAATTAAAACAATTCGGAATAAAGTGCCTGAATAGACCTGAGTCTGTAAAACAACTCCAATCTCTCCTCTCTTAGATATTGCAATCGCACCAGATAAGTCTACAAGCATTGCAGATTCTAAAAAATAACAACTCCTCTTTTTCTCATTTCTTCCAGGAGGAGTAAGAATCGCAGCCATGGCGAAGAACTGTCATAATGACTACAAAATGAAGTTCTCGAGGGACGAGGAGTTCCCCGATCTGTCCCTGCACAACAACCACATGGCCAAGGTACAAAATCCTACTCTGACATTGTCTATCCATGGCAACTCACCCAAAACACACATCCTGCGCCAGTGGCATAAATATAGACAGTCCATGCAGCGCACTGGGACCAACAACAACAACTCGAATCCCCCATTAACTGCAGATAGCAACCTTGGAAATGGGCCTGTGGTCAAAGAACATCTCATATATACAGATTTGCGAAGACGTTTGATGTGTAATACATATGTTGATGTTGCCCAATGACAAGTCTCTACATGATCATGTGGCCAAGCTTACGAGCGGGCAGCAATGCCTTTCAAATATAAAAGCTGCAGTAAGAAAAGATGGGAGGTAGCAAACTCTTTAAATTAGATTGCTTTGGTTTTCCTTGTAAATGGTTGCCAGCCCATGGCGTGTGTGCTTCATAACTGGTAAGTAGTGTGCACTGGGGCGCGTCATCATGGCCTTCACTAGGGCAACACGTAACTACCTTTATCCACTGTCCTACACAGGAATAAATAATGTTACTTAAAATACTAATGTTTTAATTGTTGCTAAGATACTAAAAGGAACTAATACTACAAAAAGAAAATCACATGACTGTATTATCACTGACCTGGGTATCATCTATTGTAGGTGCTGACCAAGGAAATCTACGGCAAGCTGAGGGGAAAGTCCACTCCCAGCGGCTTCACAGTAGATGACGTCATCCAGACTGGTGTTGACAATCCTGGTAAGAAGGAGCAAGTCATCAGCATAGAGATGAATACAGCAAAGATAGGGTTTGAGGAGACATACCTTAACCAAAGCGATATGAAAAATGACTATGTTATGATTATGGATTGCCGCTGTCACACGGTGGTACAGGCATAAGAGGACAGTATCCCTCCATTCATAATCTTCAAAGTTGAACTAGCAATGTTACCAACTTCCCCATCCTCCCCCTTGTCCCAAAGGTCACCCCTTCATCATGACCGTGGGTTGCGTTGCTGGTGATGAGGAGTGCTATGAGGTCTTCAAGGATCTGCTGGACCCCATCATCTCCGACCGTCATGGCGGATACAAGCCCACCGACAAGCACAAGACCGACTTGAACTTCGAGAACCTGAAGGTGAGCGGTGGAGACCTGCAGGCCGGTATTGTTTTAGATCAGCATAGCTTTAAGGAGGAAGGGAAGCTTCCACACCAAATGAATGGCCATTAACTTATCAATTGTAAGTAAGTAAACTTCAGTAAACCATTTATCCACTCCTAAACTTTTATAAAACTCAGTCCAACTCCTCATATGTGAAGCAAGTCAGTTTTTAAATAAGACATCAAAAAAACAATGGCTACGATATTAGAATAACGTGTCTGTTGTGTTTTTCTGTCCTGCTTTCTTCCCTCAGGGAGGTGACGACCTGGACCCCAACTACGTGCTGTCCAGCCGTGTTCGTACTGGCCGCAGCATCAAGGGATTCACCCTTCCCCCCCACAACAGCCGTGGAGAGCGCAGAGGCATTGAGAAGCTGTCCATTGAGGGTGAGTGTCAACCTAATGACAACAATGACAACAATCTATGAGTCCAACACGATGGTTGGTAGAACGCAAGATATAGTTGTCATGAGACTGACTCTGTCCACTTTCCCTGGTTCTTTCCTTTCAGCCCTGGCCAGTCTGGATGGTGAGTTCAAGGGAAAGTACTACCCCCTGAGCGGCATGACCGACGCCGAGCAGGATCTGCTGATCAATGATCACTTCCTGTTTGACAAGCCCGTGTCTCCCCTGCTGACCTGCGCTGGAATGGCCCGTGACTGGCCCGACGGCAGAGGCATCTGGTGAGCGACACACAGAATGGAAACGAATTAGAAAATGGATACACATATACGACTTTATTGGTATTCCCCTAGTTTATAAAGCAAACAGATGATCAGATATGTGCTATGATCAACTGTAAGAGCAGATTTTATGTGCCCATACAAACACGTCAATACACACTCGCTAAACACCCTCTGAGCTTAAGTCTCCCATCTTCCTAAGCCAAACTTTAGAACTTTCACCATCTGTCTTTTTCTCCAGCAGCCCTAACATGAAAATCCTGATTATTCCTGTTTTAAAACATCTGTTAAAGTGTGTCATGAATACCAAAGCACAGTGTGCATAGCTGCAGCATACACGGCCCCTTACAGTGGCTTGACATCCTACAAACTAAATCCACAGCTCAGCTTTGAGAAACATTTCTACCAAATCATACTCCTGCAACATTCTTCAAATTGTATCAAATTACTGGCTCACAAACATTTAGTCCTGTATGCAGATCATGTGAAACTGACCTGGACATTCATCTTCCAGGCACAACAACAACAAGACCTTCCTGGTCTGGGTGAACGAGGAGGATCACCTGCGTGTGATCTCCATGCAGCTGGGAGGCAACATGAAGGAGGTCTTCAGACGCTTCTGCGTTGGCCTGAAGAATGTAAATCACAAAAACATCTAAATGCAATTATGTTGACAAACTGCACAATTCCACTGGGTTAAAGCCATTTCACCTCTTGTGTGCAAAACAAATTCCTATGGATACTTTCTCTGTGCTGTAATTATATATTAAGCATCATGCATTATTCATTTCACTTTCCTCATCATTGCTCAGATTGAGGCGATCTTCAAGAAGCACAACCACGGCTTCAGTTGGAATGAGCATCTGGGCTACATCCTGACCTGCCCCTCCAACCTGGGAACCGGCCTGCGCGGTGGTGTGCACGTCAAGCTGCCCAAGCTCAGCACACATGCCAAGTTCGAGGAGATCCTGACCAGGCTGCGTCTGCAGAAACGTGGCACAGGTACAAAAAAAAAAAAAAAAAAAAAAAAAAGGATGAAGAAGAAAATGTCAAAGTCTTAAAGCTAGTCAGAAGTTAGCATTTTTCAGAGGAGCCCCAAGAGCTACAGCTTTAAACATAACGCAGCTGGATGGGGCAAGGTAAAGAATTAAGCGCAAAATGAGCATTTATTAGCAAATATTAGGATATGAGCTGGAAATAAAAATACACAGATTAAGATAAAGAGAAGTTACTCAAAACACTAACAGAAACACGATTTTTAGTTCTTGACATTAGCATGTTTCTATGGTATCTTAGAACGGCAAACCAAACTGTGGCTCTGGATAGGGCCATTCACCGGCCACCATAGTTCTTCTACACACTTCCGCAATCTCGCTACTAAATGCAATTTTAATACATTTAGAAAATATATATTATTTTGTATTATTTGCTCCATTTGTTTTGGTTGGTAGCATTAATATCTTCCCGCCCTCTTACTTAGTGCCTAATTTTATCCAAAATATCTAGAGAGAGGAATCTTCAGGAAGTACTTGAACTGTTTTTCTGCCAATTCTCACTCTGACTATCGGAGTAACTTTTGTTGAACATACATTTAGTTAATGGAAGAAACAGTCTTGCTAAGCTCGAGTTAGTCAGGCGGCAATATTCAGCCGACTTTACACATGCAGCTTTTACCCTCAATGTCAGACTCAATCAGTCTCAGGGAGGGTGAGGGAGTGCTTAAGGTAGAAAGAGGACTCATTTTTCTCCCCTACTTTTCCCTCTAGGTGGTGTGGACACAGCCTCCGTGGGTGGTGTGTTCGATATCTCCAACGCTGACCGTCTGGGCTCCTCCGAGGTGGATCAGGTCCAGCTGGTGGTTGACGGTGTCAAGCTGATGGTTGAGATGGAGAAGAAGCTTGAGAAGAGCGAGTCTATTGATGGCATGATCCCCGCCCAGAAGTAAAGTGGACAGACACAAAATGACTCAATGACTGTCTGTGTTTGTTTGTTTTTTTTTTACATGAAAAAAAATGAACAGGTAGCCTTGTTGTAAAGTTATTTTACTGGTTTCGGCCAACTGGCTACTTTCTACTCACTTCTTTCCTTCAAGAAGACACTCCACTTTTCTCTCTGCTCCTTCCTTTCTTCCTGTTACTTTAATTGTATCGCTCCCCATCTTCTCTGTAACATCCTGGGATCAATCCATGCATAGTCTGGAATGGCTATGCATTGAAAGAAAATGTTTTTTTGGTTGGAAAATATGACTGGACAATAAATGATGCCCCATGTAACAATCAAAATGCTCATGTTGTCTTTATGGGAAACTCACATGGATCTTTTGCAACTACTCATAACAGATTGATAGAGATATGTGCTCCTGATACATTTTAATACAGGCACAAGGAAACAAAATCCTTAAAAATAAAGAACCGGCAGAAATGTCCTCACTCTGATGGTCTAAAACGCGTGGTCCTCACAAAGATAGATGTACAAGGACACACACACACCTTCCAACAATTCACGATAACACAAAGAAACTGTCTGGACACCACATTAAAGAAACAAAATCCATATCTGAGAAAACAAAATACACAAAATATGAAAGAGGTTGAAAGTCTTTATTTTTGTGTCACACATTATTTCCTAGGAGACATGCAGGATTGCAAGTCGATCATTTCCGTAATATCACCCCATAAGTTACGTTTTCTTGATAACAGTGACGGCTTCAAACACACTATACAACAGAACTGTAGCCTTAAAGCACGGCCCTAACTGTATCTACAGAACAGGTTCAGAGAGTGAGGCCCAGTTGTGTACACACACACACACACACAAAATAATATGCAAAACAAATAGCCCTAAAAAACCAGATTCACATTTTCAGACAGCCTGCTGAGGCTGAATCTCCCATTTAACAGATCAATTCCTGTAGACTTCACAGCTTGTAAAAGATCAACAACTGCTGTATCAGGAAACTTTTCCTTTTATGTATCAGTGTTTTGTTAGATGCTGCAATGTTGTAATTGTTTGACTTGATAGAGTTACAATACAAGTACAACTACCTTTGGATTCGGTCGGTGTCAATATATGATCAATTGGGCACTCTGTGTGTATTTTTGTTGAATCGTGGTAACTTTGATCCGTAATGAGCAGCAAAGTGTTTTTAATAAAAGAAGATTTCTCAAAAGGTCATTCAATGTCTCATCTTAAGCCGCTTTGAGTTGTACAGCGGCTTAATGAGGCAGGGGTCCGATTGGATAACAGTCGTACACCTCTTAAAGCAATACTGGAATCTGATTGGTCAACAGTCGAACACGTCTCAGCAGTGCTGCAGCCTGGTTGGTCGACAGAGGGAAATGTCTACAGTTTGAGTATCGAAAGTGATGCTTGGGTTAAGAACTCAAAATAAATGTAATATTGGATGAAATAAAACTGTTAAATTGACTAAATGTTATTGAGACAAGTCGCCATTTACAATTTTTGTAGCCCCATTTTCCTTATAGTCACAAGGAACTTTTAACTGGTGGAGACTGTTTCATAACCAACACTGATGGCTCTATATGACCTACATCAGTAAACGAGACCATGGGTAGTAACTTCAATATAACTTTGGACACCCGAAGCATTCGTTTCACTGAAGGAAGTGAATGATGACAAGAGGTGCGTGTAAGTAAAGGACAGAAGGGCATTCAGAATGTCAAGTATTCACTTCAGTGGGCTTTAAATGTCTCAAACAGTTATTTTATAACAATTTACAAAAGAAAAATACAGATTAATTAAAAACTCTGCCAGTACAGTACAATGCATTTCCTGGCTAAAAAATGAGGGGAAAAAGTGCTTAATGAATTTTAAGAACATATCAGCATCATAAAAAATAAATCAAACAAGGCGCCCTATTGAGTCTATGTTTATTCAAGTCTAGATTCTTGGCTTTGTGGCTGTATTGCACTACATTTGAGGCGAAGCGATGGCGTTCTGACAGACTGAGATATTGTTAAGTGCTACCAGTAAAAGCCCCGTCTCCTCCAGTTACTCTAAACCAGTATGAGCTACAGTAATCAAGTGTGTGGTGAAACATGTGGTTTGAAGAAGAGATCAAATTAAACAAAGGTGATCTATTAAAATATACTCGTCCTGAACTGGGGTTCAAATCTGTGGATGCTTAGCTTCATGTTGGATCGGCTTTCTGAACTACGTCTGCAGCCTCGCAGGAAGAGGAGCCAAGATTTGTATTTTCTTTTTTTTTGTACCATAGAGTATTCAATTTCCATCACATCAAATAAAAACTGGGACTAGTCAAAAGAAAGTCATGCTACTGTATTGGACCAAGAATCAATACAACGGTTGGTTTGTCGAGCTTTTAGATATTTAATCTTATAAATTGTCTGGGCACGCACATATCACATATGATATGTGCTTCATTTTGCCATCGGTAAAACATGTAGTTTTGTTAAATGTTAAACTGATTATATTTAATTGAAATATTAGTTAAAAGAGCTCCTATTGGTCTCAGAATAAGGCATTCCGATTGGCTGACAAAGCCTGCTTTTTTAAAATCATCTAAATAGACTAAACCAGCTGATTGGAGAATAATGTAAAGGGCCGCTTTTTTTTTCTGCGTACATCCACCTTCAGATCAGAAAATCCAGCTGAGGCATGCTATTGCGTTATAAAAACACAAAGCACGTTCCTGTTGAGGATCCAGTTTTTTTCGTAGAAATAAATCCTACTTTGCACTTTAAACCAACAAAATCTTACGTAATTACAGAAAATTGAGAGGACTTTTGCTTGTTAATAAAAAGGTAGCGTGGTACAAATATTGGGGCGAAGTAGAGTATATGTAAAGAGCACAGCAGAAGCTCAAATGATCAGGTTATCAAGGTCAACATATCAGCTGGGTCCTGCATTATTGGCCGGCTTTGCTCCTCCGTAAGCTGCTCACCTGCCAGCTGTCAATACACAGCAGAGAATTCAGTATGGACAGCAGGCAGAGAGGCAACATTTTACCAGAAATGGTACAAACATCAAATACCCAGCTGAACAGTAAAAGGGCGAATATCGATGGATGGGCAGAAAGGCCGCGATGCTTCATTCAGTATGTCACAAGTTTCTGCATTTCTGCATGTCTCCCTCTAGAGGCCGGAGGTCAGACTGCAACCTCACTTCTGAAATATGTGACGTCTGCGTCAGAGGATGACGACAGATGTCACTCTCTGACCCATTTTTAAAAGCATTGAAGAGAGAAAATAAACTCCATAAACAAATTAAAACATTTCTTTAAATAGCAGCTCTTTAAAAAGGAATGATGACAACAAATATGATACAATAGGAATAACAATGTCAACAACAACAACAAATTATCGATCTCCATCATTCTCAGCAACACCATCCTTATCATCAAACATGAAGTCATGAACAAAAATGAAAATAAAACAACCTGACTCCATGGGCTCACATAACATGAGGTGGTGGTGCGTTTCAAGCAGGGGTCGTAGGTCACTGACAGCTCCAAGGTCAAGGGTCATCATCAAGTCTGCCAATGGCAATCCATCCGTGTCTGTGCGTCCGCTTTATCTGGCTGCGATTGGTGGCATCAGAAGAAGAGGGTCTTTGGCGGAGGCGAGGCATCGCTAGCCGCATTGGAATGAGGTGGAGCCCAGGGAGGAAGAGGAGTGGGAGGAGGCAGTGGTGTCTTCCTCATTGTTCCTCCTCCTCCCTACTCATTCATCATCCTGTCCTATGGGTTGTCAATCCGCCCCACCTCCTGTTTCCCTCAGAGCTCGAGCTCCTTGGACACTTTGGTGGCGATGTCTCTAAAGGCCAACGGCGCCCCCCACAGGCGCTTGAACCTCACACCGCTGCTCTGGCCCAGCCCGCTGGGCAGCTGGCAGACCTCGGCCTCGAAGGCCACGCGGGCGCCGGCCGCTCCGTGGGTGCAGGACAAGAGGAACGGCCCGGCCAGGTGGACCTGGCAGCCGCAGCCCTGCGCCGCCTCTCGCAGCGCTAGCACCACCTCGGCCGGGTCGCGGGGGCTCCGCACCCTCACATCCCAGCCGCATCGGGGGGTCCGGGGCTCGGCCGCTTTCTGATGCCCAGATAGATGGCGACTGGAAAGGGGACGAAGAGTAGGGGCGATGCGAATAGAGGATGGTAGAAGGAAATGTAGGAAGATTTGAAAAATGGCAGGAAAAGGTTGAAAAGAGAGGTTTACAGCAGGAGGGTTGGAGGAGTTAAAGAGGTTTGAACAGCAGAAATAAAGGAGGAGGAGGAGGAGAAGGAGAGGTGTGATATGAATGAAGGAGCATGGATTTAAGGATCAATGGGAGTGAATACACAGGGTTTTGAGATGAAATGAATGCGTGATGGAAGTGTAGGCAAGTGAAAGTGTGGTTGTATGAATGTGAATGCATGAGTGGTTGGGGAAAGGGGGAGGAAAAGAAAGAAAATCAATATCATACATTATTGGAATTTTACATCTCTATATAGCAATCAAGGTAACTGTGATTGGTAAATGTGTATTTTATAGTCTCATCTCTTTTTCATACTATACAATGCATGTACAACACCAAAGGGATATGCAAATCAAACCCACCTCAAGTTAATTGCTCTGGTGAGGCAATGCTTATACATTTATTTTGTTCTTTAATGAGAGTTAATAATAAAATGTATATAATTAATAACATACTACACGGATACATTCTTTAAATCACACTTAACACCAACTAACACACAACATCCCGGGACGGTAAAGAGTTTCAGGGACTGAGCTGTTGATAAGACACAATGACAGTTATTATAATTTATTTTTCTTTAATCAACGGTTCCACCCGCAGGGATCGTCCACCACAAGGAGCACCACAGTCTGCTAGCTAGTGTTAGCTTGGTGCTGCTGCTTTACCTGCTGTTCTTAACCTGAGACTGAGCTGAAGCAGCTGAGAGGAAGTGCACAACACAGATAACTGACAGTAAGTCAAAATTATGTATTTTTCATGCCTATTAATTAAGCGCCGAGAGGCAACTGAGAAGAAAAAGATGTAGGTGATCTGTTTTCTCTCCTGTGTTTATGACTTGAGGTTTTTCATCTGTGAAACAAGTGGAAAAGTTTTGACAGGATCAATTTTCTTGTGTCTGTGAAACAGATTTAAAAGAAAAGTTTGGGCATGTTGCATTTTTGTTTTTGGCAGGATCACATTTGTTGTTGTAATACTCATTTTGGCCTCAAGAGACTGAAGTGCACCACTACCCCATGTTCTAAATAGGACTATAAGCCTTTTTGTTTTCATACAGGCGAGTGTTCATGTCTCCATGCACACTAAACACTAATAAATTGTGTGTTAGCATGTGATGTAACATTACTGTCATGTTTTTCTTTTGGGTAGAAATGTTATTCTGTCGTTAAGGAAAACACCAATGCTTTTAGTCATAGTGGGGTAGTGAAGCCTTTCAGCATCTTGTGCCCAAAATGAGTGTTACAACAACAAACACAGATTACCTTCTACCTGCCAAGTTTATTTTATTGGTTGAAGTTTCTTTTAGATAAAAAAGGAACCTTTTCTTCTTAAGTCGGAAACACAGCAGAGAAAACCATTTAGATCAAACTTACAAAATGGATCATAACACGTCTTTCCTCACTTGCCTCTCAGGGCCTCTGTACGGGTTGAACATTCATAATCCGTTTCTATATTCTTTCATTAAAGCTTACAAATCTACATTTTACTGTCGTTCCTTGTTTCCTCACCACATCAAAGAGAAACATTTAACTAAAGAAAATCATCACAACAAAAATGTAGTATAATTCAGGATCTGTGCTGGGAGCCATGCTGGATCACATGGAAAAATGTGACTCCATGTAGACTTCTAATGTTTAAAAGATGATCAGAAGAAAACATCAGTTACACCTAAGAATGAACACATTTACAGCTGCAGCGGAAAACGGTTCTGTGTAGACAACAAATCCTTGTAAATGCATTTTAGATTAAAGGATTAAAGGAAAACTATAGAAGCGCTACAGTTGAATTACTTTCACTCTAGCAGTCGTGCAGAAACTTAAAGGGATAGTTCAACATCTTGGCAAATATGCTTTACATATTTGTTAGTTTTCTTGCTGATAGACAACACCTGTATGTACAGTAAATATGTAGCTGGAGAAGAAGCTAGTTAGCTTAGCATAAAGACTGAAAACGGGAAAACAGCTTGTCTGGCTCTGTATTGGGGGAAAAAAATCCACCTACCAGCACATATAAAGCTCATTAATCAACACTTTAGCTCGTCTTTGTGTAACAACTTTAATTTGCTGTTTTATGGGGTTTATGTGCCAAGAAATAATCCAGCACTTAACCCCCGTAAATTAGACAATTGCTGTTTTTACACTCATGTTTTGGTACGGATTAAGCAAGATACAACATCTCTTTCTTGGAAAGACAGCAAATAAACGCTTTACAAAATGTTTAACTATTCTTTTAACAACAACATCAGTAACACTGGAATTAGCTCACACAATATCTTCTCTTTCTATATCTTGAAGAGTAAACTAAAAGGCTTGAACATCCTTTAAGTACACTTGAAACATTAAAAATGTAAATGTGAGCTCACCTTGTGACCGGAGATCTGCTGATTCTCTCAGGTTCGTCTGTGACCCTCAAGAGGAAGACAAACGCATCCGTTAGGAATCAATAGGCCAACTGGCCCCCCCCCCCCACACTTCCTGTTTAAGTGTTACAAATTGCTGCATGGCTATGTCAGTCAATCCACATCAACCACAACACACAAGCACAACAACTTGTTTGTTTCAAGTCACAGATGGATCATCACCAACCTACACTCACTACACTGGACACATTGGATGACTGTGCAACAACAACAACAACAACAACAACAACAACATGTCAAAGCCACCGACAAAACAAATGAGAGGGAGTGGATCCAGAGCGGAGAACCAGGTCTTAATAGACACAAAACACGGTGTGTGCTGCAGTGGCGGCCAGACTCACACAAATACAAATCTAACGCTTATGAAAGAACACATTAGTGTGTCAAATAAGAAAGGAAAATCATTTTGTCTGCGATTGATTTTAACTGTCACAGCTACAATGTGAATGTGTGAATAATCTTAAAAGATGTGGTTTAAAGAGACAGTTCACACCAAAATAAAACAGAGTTTTAACAAACAACAGAAATCCTGATCAGGTTACTCAAGATCATCCACGGACCTTGTTGTGAGCAGTTCCACGAGGTAACTATTTTCTTTCTACCGAACTACACCCACCAACCGTGTCACCGCGCAGAAGGAGCTGACCGACAGGAAGTACGACGGCTGCTGTAAGGCGCTTTAGATCAAAGTATCTTCAGGACGTCTCCACCCCAGTACTATTGAGTTTAAAGCAGTTTACTGCACTTCCCCTCCATGGCCACCGGGGGCTACTGTTGCTATTTGTTCTGTGTGTCAACTCCGGGCTTTAGTCCTGGCAACCTGATCGCCATTCCAGGAACTGGGGAGGCCTGGTGGAGCCGGCAGCGATATTTCATTGATGGATTTGCAGAGAAATGAAACCGACTCTAACGTCACCCTGGCTCTGACCGAGGAGCTGTGGCTTCAGATCTAAACACATGTTTAGAAGTTTAAAATGTGCGATCCCTGCTAATCCACACAGCTAATCACTCCGATACTCCTCAGCATTTACGAATGATTATGTTGAAATAATTATCCAGCAAATTGCTGGAGGATAACTCCTGTTGGGTTAACTTGCTGAAGTTGCCCCAATACATGCCTGTACTCTACAGTAATGATGGACATGTTTTGTGATCTGAAGAACTGGAGGTGTCCCATCTAGATGAAATGACCTTGCCTCTCTCGACTGGGTACAGAAAGTGAGCGAGTAATGCCTAGCTCCTCCCCTCGCAGACTGTTGCCAAGGTGACCCTGAGCAAGACAAGTGGCATCACATCCTTATGGAGGAATAACAGTGGGAACGATCTAATCGTTTTGTAAGTGAAGAGTACGGAGTGGCAGACTGGATGGACTCTTGTGCATCGAGGTAGCAACTATCTGTGTATGAACTGTACAGCATGAGGCTGACAGCTGGGGGGGGGAGAATAAGGAGCAGAAAGTGACGGCGCGGGAGAAGCTCGCAGCAGTGTGACAGGACAATCTGCTTTGTATCTTGAGGGAGAGCTATGCAAGATCCCGTTTAAGAGACGGATAAATCCAGGTTACGTAACTAATCCTGATTTAAGACGGCAGTGACGTCAGGGTCAGCCAGTCGGGATGACTGGTGCAGGCCTCTGACGAGCGTTGTGCTCCTGCAGAGGGCTCGGACACACGCAGGGACACACACAAAAAACAGGGAGATATGTAGCATGTTGCTGTCGCAGGACTGTAATAAGCCTTAAATCCTTTCATCTAGCCCGTTAGTACTGATTGGACGGGCTACCTGCCTGTGTGTATTCAAGTCTTTCAAAAGCTGCTGGCTTAACAGCTGTGAGGACTAACAATGGCCATGTTTGTTGTTTGCGTTCATAATGATAATTTTGGAGGAGTAGCTTTGGAGGAAGGCCCAAAGTTTAAATTCCAACTTTTGGAGTTAGTACTGCTAATCTCATTAGAAAAGAGTTTTTCGGTTGGATCATTGTTTTGATCTAGCGTGCTCTTGCTAGTTTCTCCAATGTTTCCTACCCAAGCTCTGATGTCGGGGCTTAGAAGCATTTGCTCTTTGATTCAGAAAGACACAAAGAACGGCATCTACTTTTAAAGGTTTCAGATCACCGACACATTGTCTATCAAACTATACATGGAGACGTGTAAAAGTGGTGCTAGAATGTCTATGTTTGTCAAATGATACACAAGAATGAGACGTACAGTATTTGCCCCTAAAACCTTAAACAGACCCGGTCATGCACACTACGTTACCAGTAGTGATGAAGTCTCAACCTCAAAGACAGCGAATGAACCGCCCTCTCTCTTCATCCCTCGCCCCTCTACCTCTGGCTCGTATCAAACACCAATAAAGCACCATCCCCCCCTTTTTCCCTCTGCTCGCAGGAATCCCACAGTCCTGCTCATTTGTTAACAGCATGGGCAAACATATGGTGTCGATTACATGACTCAGACTAGTACAGTCGAGTTGTAATAAACTCACAGGCGACACGCAAACACACACACTTCATAGGGTGTTTATTCTAAAAAAAAAAAAACAGTTGTGTGACTTGTGTGTTCAAAATGTCTGTCTAGTAATAGGGGTGAGCTTGACCCACTTCACCCGTTGTTGTCCCAGAAAAACCAAGACAGTCGTGTGTTATGCAGGTAATGGTGCCACCGTAAGTCTCTAGTGAGTGCTACAGCATGAAGCCCAGCCAGCAGAGACACAAGCAGTCCAGACACAGACAGACAGACAGACAGACAGACAGACAGACAGACAGACAGACGCTGATTAGAGTTGTAGTCACATAAACATACAGTTTTGAGACAGAGCTGCTCTACGGGAAGAAACAGTCTTGTAAACTGCGTTAAATTTCGATGGCCACAGTCCCAGGAGGTCAAGTTTGACGGGATACGAATTTTGGTCAAACAATAAAGTGGATTTAAACTGGGCCAGAGCTGAAGTTTCCAAGTCAAGGCTCGAACATTTAGACTCCTAAATGTTTCTAGTCAACCCTTCAACGTGTATATTATCTGCTCATATTGTGTTAGGACTACAATCTGTTTTGCATGAACGTGATGAAGAACCATGACAGGGTTTCTGCAGAGTTCACCAAGTTCAATCTTTAAAGACCTTTTAAATACAACCGAAGATGTAATTTAATATCTGTTTCATGGCCATTCTGGACAAAGATGGAGAAGAGATTTGATAGAATTATTAATTTTAATAATTTTTTTTTTTCAATAATTCCTAACAATATAATTCATTCAATGAACTCGACCTGGACCCGGATAAGTGGATGAATGGATCAATCAATGGAAAAGGATTATTTATAGTTTAAATTGCGACATGCTGAGCTTCCTAGCTTCTGTAGCTAGCGGCTGTGACAGAACGGGCTACAGGTGTGAACATGAACACAGTCCACTGTCGCAACAATCAAACGTCTCGTTTACGAGTGTGTAGCGTCTCCCACAGAAAAAGACGTTTGCATATTAAATTTAAGACTCCTACAGCAGTGATACACAACTTAAGGGTGCCGGGGGGCCCGCCGACCATTCGTTACGCATCGAAAATAAAATTGATTCACAATGTGACTTTTTCTTTGTACTTCAAATGTAAATAAGGAGGCTGAGTTCATAAGAAAGAATCAAGATGGACTAATAAGAGTTTGAACTGGGAGGATCCTGGACTCTAACAAAGGTCTGGGCTGTTTATTAATTGGCAGCTGGCCTCCTGCCATTTTAGTCAAAAGTGGCCCCCGGGAAATTATTATATTTATACTGTGACATTAAATTACATGGACTATGATTATTAAGACATTAAGGCTTCAGTCTCGTCTTGATGGAACACACGTTTGAAGAGAAACTATTGAGAGCTTCACGTGGAGAACGTAAACACAGAAAGAAGAAAATGAACTTTCCTTTGTCTTTACAAAGAAAAGGAGGTTTCCCAGTTCACATCAGTACAGATGGACTTTTCAGAGCCCCGCATGTTGAATTCAACTCAAGCACTGATTAAAATCCCTGCCTGTAGAGAAGCTTTTCCTCAGATAAATGTTTGCACAACTAAATCCAAACGGTGACAGACAGCGAGTGAGGGGTACAGGGAATGACAGGGCGCTGGCAAGAAGCAGGCAGACGGTCAGACAGACAAGAAGCAGCCAGAAAACATGGGAAAGGAAGACTTACTAACTGTTTTTGTCCCCTGTGGGAGGGTGCAGCCCGACATGGACTTGTTTGAGCTCTGACGTTTAGAAGGGTCAAGAGAGACCCTAGGAGGAGAGAGGAAGAAGAGAAGGAGATGAAAAGAGGATGAGGGGAATGGTGTGAAAAAAACAGGAAAATCAACAGCAGAACGTCAGAGCGACATGGAACAAAAGAGAAGTGAAGGGGGGTGGGGGGGGGGGGGGACAATATAGAAATAAAAGACAGTAAGAAGCACAGGTGGAAGAGGCAGAGAAGTACAAATCAAACTGTACTGTAGTTCAGGAAAAAGAAGGATAGAAAACTGGCAGGTGACTGGCGAGGAAAAGCAAAAAAGTTGTTAAAGAATCAAACAAACCAACCAACAGATAAAGCAACAATAAGCAGCAGAAGTGACCGGGACAGACATACAGTACGTCCACCTGAGCAGCAGACCTGGGTCACACAGGTTACGGTTTGGAGAAACACTTGGGTGGGGTTAACTGCATCAGTTGATGGCAGAAGCAGGATTGGACCTATTTTAACTTGAATTGAACACAATGTCAAACGGCATACATGTGACAGGTTTAGATGGAGGGCCTTCCATTACTGCTGCTACTTCTGTGGGATGAAACATTGTATCCATTGCCATCCGCTTCCCACTTCCAATTTAAGTCAAATTGTTGCTGTTTATTTGCATTCTCATTAGCCGGCTCTTTTTCCACTCACTCGGGGGCTAATTCTCGAAAGAATTGCGCAAGAATAGGACAAAAAACGAAATCATGTAATTCTCAAATAGTGACGTAGTCGTCATGACGGCGCCCATTGGTTTGTGGACTGCTGTTCTGAAGCCTCAAGGTCGGTATTTTGGACATCGCCAACTAGCATTTTGGCCGTCTTATGAAAGAACAAATTAGTGTCAGAAGAGAACACCAGCCTTATTCAAAAGCAGCATTTTGTCTGCGCTCGATTCAAACTGTCTCAGCTACGACATATTTGGAATGCAGAGGAGTGATGTAGCGACGCCGTATACGTCTCTGGTAGCGGCAGCGACCTGTCAATCATACTGTAGCCCCGCCCTAAAGCATACTCTGCTTTATGGTCTATTTGATAAATTAATTAATTGTCTCTCTTGTTTGTATCCGTTAAGGAAACAACATGAAGAGAGACCCAATCTGTAGATTTATCCAATGTTAGCTCCTCCTGATTGTATTTTTTTCTTCATTTTTTAGACGTTTAATAGGGCTTTAGTCTATGTCTCGTCATATAATGTATTTACTGTTTCATAAGGGCTACATTTGTCGTTTCCTGTGGGACAAGTTTTCAAAAGCAAATGTTGTAGGGAGCAGGTGGCAAGCAAGGAAAACAAAGAGAAGGAATCATGTTCAACACTATTAGACCCAGGTCTGAGGCCTGTAAAGGGTTATCATTAGAGAAGAAAGGCTGGTAGGTTAGTACTGGTTAAGGAACAGAAGGTGAGAGGCAGCCAGGTCAGCTCAATGATCTTCATGTTTACAACAAGAGGGGCTACACTGTCCAGTTACAAGCCTGTAAACATACAGGCTATCACATTTAGATCGTTAGCAGCAATCATCAAACGCATACAATCCTTGAAAATACTCATAAATGTTTGAATGAGCAAAAAAAACCTGCAGTTAAAGGTTAACTTGTAATCTGTTGAGTCATCGTTCTACCGCTTCTCCCCTTACCTGCGGGTCAACTTGGAGGTGAGTTTGCTGAGCAGGTTGGTCGTGGTCCGGGTCCTGGCGTGTGGCAGCGGGCTGGCGTCGTGGGACAGCGTCGGGGAGGCCGGGGGAGCGTGGGAGGGGGGACGACGGTCTCGAATCTGACCGCCGTGGAAAGTGCTCCTCACCGTGGACCCCCTGGAGAGGCGGGAGGAGGGCGTGGAGGAGGCCCCGGAGGCACCGGCTATGCTGTGGGTTGAGGGGGAGGCGGGGGGCAGGCGGTGGGATAAGGAACTGGAGGGAGAGGAGGAGGGAAAACAAGAGTGGATAGTTGTTATCAAGATCATTACAATTTGCAAGTGAAGGAACCATATCTCTTCACTTTGTATGTGGTTCAATCAACCTCGTCACACCACAGACGCCGCTGCTTACCGTATTATGCCTGCAGTGCATGACCAAATCAAATTATACTTTTCAATCTCATTTAGCAACAAGGAAATACTTGTTATTTTAGGCCCGAGTCACCTTATAATCACAAACATACAGACTTGGAAGAGACATTGCTTTGAATTGGGTTTATTCAGAGGAAAACAACATTAAAGATCTCGGAGATATCGGGTTTTTTCTCGTACATGTAATACTTTACGTTTTCTGGGGTTATTACACCACTCCACCGGCTGCGTAACTTGTTTTTCATATATGTATTTTTTGATACAATGGCCCCCATATGCTGTCGTAGGAAAATAACAAATACCTCACATTATAACACCTCCTGTCACTTTCCAAAGCATTCAATATCTTTTTGTCGTTTCTTTTTCTAAGCATCTAGGCAGAGTTCAGTTTCAATAGAGTCAAAACATGCTGGCATGTTAACTTCACATTTTGTCAAGTTACATCCACATCACAGTAATGCAGTGCAACACATGTATGGATCAGTCATTGTTTTTGTCTATTTAATTGGATTTGTCCGCAATAAATAAAGTACAAAATATTACCAGGCTTCTTCTTTGAGGCGTATAAGTGTTACTGTCACAGTATACCAACTCAAGTTACGGTTTACTACCAAAGACAACATGAAGACAGTCACATTCTGGATTTCTGATTGATCATGCTTCTTCAATAAACCCTGAAAAAAAGGCTATATGGCTTTTGCTTTGTTGTTTTTGCCGACCACATACATTTACACGATTTGAGATTAAATTCAACTGCATTTAACATCTGTAATACTTGTATAGCCTTAAACTGAGGTCATTTAAGACTTTTCAATGAGCACCCACAGATAGGAAACGTAAAAAAAGGGAGCAGGCTGCTCTTCAAACCATGACAACAGTTAGTCCTAATCTCTGAAAATTGACCCAAATGCCCCCCGCCCGCCCGCCCGCCCGCACACACACACACACACACACACACACACACACACACACGCACACACACACACACACACACACACACACACACACCTCCACCCCTGACTCTGGCTGGTGGCCCAAGGCTGCTTTTCATAACGCTCTAGATAACACCCACACACAATGTTCTAGTGGGGCAGAACCATTAAACGAGTTAAGTTGAAGCGCAGCCGCTGCAGAGCAACATCGCTTCACATCAACGTGAACCAGCGGCCTGCTAAAGCTAACTGCAGGGGAGAGGAGAGGCTCGAGAGGTTGGGACCAGGAAGAAATGGCGAGAAGGAGACGAGGAGGAAGACGAGAGATTCACTTGGTGCGAAAGTGAGGGAAGGAGAACGTAGAAAGGGCGAGAGAGAGACTAACGATGTTCAGCTCACTTTCACAGTGAACTCCTGAGATTTCCATTTTAAATTCATATTCTTTCAAATGTCTTTGTTCTTCTCTGTTGCAGCACGCTGCTTGTAAAAGTTATGAGTATAAATCATTTACATGAACAGGAGGGGTGGGACTATCAGGAGCAAGACTTTGATTTGTTTACTTGGACTCAAACATGGCTAAAACAAGAATGTACATGAAAATAACTGTCAAGAGTGAGCAGGGTGGCAAACATTTAGACTTATTAGAGACCGCACAACCTCATGCAGCAAACAGTTAAGTTACTGTGTAACATCTTGGTCACATGCAGCATCTACAAAAGCCAAACCTCTTATGATGATATACAATCGAGCAGGTTTGCTTCTATAAATAGTAACAGCATCAGGCGCTCATTGACACGTAGAGCATCCAATGGGAACTCTAAGATGCCCTTACGTAAATCCTCATTCGGACAAACAGCCTTTTCTGTTCCGGGGGATCAACATGTGGAATTCTTCCAGAACTCAAAAAAGGATCCAGACTGGGATCACTTTGAGCTCAAACTGAAACAGTTCACTTATCTGGTGATCCTTGTGTTACGGTGTTTTATTGTACTGTAGTTTTGTACTGTGGTTTGTACGCGTTTATTGTTGAGTTTGTGTTTTGTACCATCTCTTGTGTATTTGTTGTTGATTGTTATGCATTTTTAAGAGCCCATCAAGGGCTTCATGCTACATTAAATACTTTTCCCCCACACAAATAAGCATGAAGTAAAGTTAAAAATATGATCTAAATGAAGTACACTTCAGTACCTCAACGGTATCTTTTCTCTGTCTGCAGCTACAGTACTGTTTCTCTTGGCGTGTGTGTCTGTGTGTCCATGCACATGTTTGTGCCATCAACCACTCTGGCATGGCATCACATTGACAAGGCCTCTGAGGCAAATGGAGGGTTACGCTGGCACAATGTCCGTCCTCACTTCATCCTGCTCCCCTCCTCTTTTCCACCTCTCTCCCTCGCCCTCCTCCCTCTCTTTTCCCTCCATCCTTCCCCTCCGTTTACCTGTCACGCTTTCCCTCCAGGAGACTTGTCGTAATGCCCGAATGTCGTCAAATCTAAACGAAGGGGGCGAAACTCAAACTGACTCGGAAACACCAGTGAGTCTGTTTGATGGTGTGTTTTTTTCTAGCTGCTATTTGCAGCCAACAATGCTCTACGTCTTTTTTTCAAAAACGTATATGTATGTTCATGTTTTCTTTGCTGCTTTCCATGGATTCTTACATTTAAAAACTCGGATGACAGACAGCAACCTCCTGGCTCTTCCTGTGAGAGGCAACATTACAGAGTGACAAAGAGACAGAGGGACGGAAAAACAGGTCAGCCAGAATGAAAATGAGAAAGTGAGAGAGTGAGAGAGGGACCATAGGGGGGAAAGGGATAGAGAGAGAGATGGTGGCTGCCATGCTCTGACACCGACGAGCAGACAACCATCTGTCACAACAACGGACAGCTCATATTGGGCACATACACACACGCGTGGACGAACCCACTCATGCACAGTTTAAGCCCTTTATCCTTAAAGAGAGAACATGTGTGTGAGACAAACACTCTCTAAGCTCTGTGCGGAGAGAGACGAGCTTTACCAGCTCAACTATTCATTTGCAAAACCCTTTCTTATTGTATTCACTATGAATATGAACGCATCATCTACATTTGGCAAAAAAACAAATCTCTTATTTGTTGATACATATATGCTCCGTGGCCATTGGCTGTGGTGCAAATTACAACAAATATGTTGTATTTGAGGACAGAATAAAAAAACAGAAAAAGAGCCAACACAACGATGCGCTAACTGTGGGGGCACTCTGCTCATCTGTTAGGGTACGGATGGTGATGGTCCTCTCACCTGTTTTCCTTGCCATTTTGCAGCAGTGAGTGTCTATCGGTGCTGGACCGGTCTGTACACACATACGTGTTCCTTCGAGTCATGGCACTGGCAGGGATGTTATTCTGGAGAAAGGATCAAAAATCACTTGTATTTACTGAAACGAATGACGTCTTTGAACGATGAAGTGCTTTATAATGCAACACAATGAAAGGAGGGCTTCAGAAGTGAAAGACGTGCATCAAGCCTTCATACGGCTACACTATTTGAAAATCCGGACTAGAGTAAAACCTGCCTTAAGACTTCCCTAGCTTGATCGTCTGACCTCAGACCGTAATGAGCTCGGCCTGATTGTCCCGTACAGAACATTAAAGAGGTAATCTCAGGAGTTAATCATCTCTTCACATTCCTTTAAACTCCCGCTCGCTCATGCTAATCTCACTGAGGAACCATAATCTCTATATTCCCCCTGCTGGGTGAATCCACAGTTTGTTATTCGTCTATGCATGTAAAGTGTTTTACTGTTCAACTCCTCTCTAATCTGCAGAAGACGTTAATGTTTGCAGTCTCTTAATGTTATCAGTATCAGTGTAGTGTAATCTGAGGTAATGGGATTAGGAAAGATTGAGGATTCTGCCATCAGCACCCGTTCTATTGATAAAGGATATAAAGTGACAGGTCTCTGAGTCCACTCACAAAATATCCTTTAGGCCTTACTGTGGTCACGTTGGCTTCCTTGCGCCGGTCGGGTATCTCTGCCTTGTTTGGGTTGTGGGCGGAGCTAACCATTGGACTGGAGGGCGTCGGGATGCTACGGGAGCCAACGGTGCTGGTGCTCGGCTTGCGGCTCGACAGCCGCTCCTCCTTAAGCCCTGCCCCTTCGCCTACGCCACTCGGGCTCCGCTTGGGGTGCGTGGACACTGGAACTGCCGGACCACCTGAGAGATGGGAGTGGGAGACAAGAAATCTGGGTGAGGACGATTTCTGTCACCATTTTAGAACGAACGAACCCGACTCTCACTAATCACTACGTCACTGATCTGGTTTACAGAAGTCAGAGTGTCGTCTCTGGCGGTGGTAAGTGGAGGCGCTGCGCTGTGGCTTGTGGCCAGTGGAGGAGGAAGGTGTGGCGGAGGAGGAGGAGGAAGCGGTGTGTTTGCTGGTTCCGTTGGTGATGGTGCTGGGTCGGACTCGAGCCAGACTCAGGCTGCTGGCCGATCGAGACTCGCTGCCTTCCGTCTGAGAGGGAAACATTCACACGTACAACAGGACTGAGTCAGGCATTGATTAGGTTGTTTAGGGTTAGACCCCACAGTTAAATCGAAAATAATTAACATTATGAACTCATAATGACACAAAAGGCACCACCACCATCCTAAATCTTCTTAGTCTTTTTTTCATAATTTTGTTTAGATATGAGCGTATCTGGCAAAAAGATATACTGTCCAATAAACCATAAACCATTACCTCATACCTAAATACAGAGGAAGCTGCAAACAAACCCACAAAGACAAGCTGACTCTCACCTCGTTCTTGCGTCCCAGCAGCAGGTATGTGGCGGTGACCTCGTTGTACTTCTGACTAGACAGTGAGTCTCTGATCTCATCCCTGTTGAAGCCCATCCCGACCATCACATCTGGAAACGAGACAAATGAAATAACAAAAATCTACAGCAAGTGGCGAGCTGCACAGCAATCACACGGGTCGACCTCCTGCACAATTATGAAAAGGTGCTCTGCATGGTGTGAACCTTCATATGCATAAGCAGAGCCTGAACTTACGACGCGGATGTTGCACCGTGTAGGTCAGCTTTAATGGTGACTAAATTGTGACGTCCAACTTCATGCAAATGAAGCGTTTTAAGGTGCTATATGCTAAATCTCTGGAGTTGTGGCTGAAAAGTCATTGGTGATTTTGAAAGTTTATTCCAGTCAGCGGCTTCGTAAATGGAGGCTTCATCCAGAAGTTCCCATCTTCCACGAAATATTTCTGTTTAACGTTACAGTAACGCAACAGTTTATCTTTTTGAGATCAATGATTAGCTTAAATAAATGAATAGTGAAAGGTCTGTGTTTCTCACCAATGCGGCTGGTATTGTTTAAGTCCTCGACAGGCTCTGCGTGGGGCTTCAGATCCTCACCGTCATAGCCGACATTGATCCACTTATCTTTCATTATTTGCTGGTGAGGGAAGAAAAGAGAAGGAGAGCTCAATATTTAGACCCTAATGTAGTCAATTCATGTCGTGTTGCACGTGATACGGTGTTTCCTCCTCACCTCCAGCGAGCAGCGCTTGGCAGGATTGAGGACCAAGAACCGGCGCAGGATTCCTTCGCAGTCTGTAGACATGTAGAAGGGCACGCGGTACTTCCCCCTCAAAACACGCTCCCGCAGCTCCTGAACGCAACACACAATTGACACACGATGAATTTCTGCTCCAGGGACAACGAATCAGTAAAAGAACGGGACTTCATTTAAATACTGTTGGCAAAATCTTGTGTAATGTGATACAATGCACAATTATGTGGTTAAAAGAATAAAACAAATAAGAATAGAAAAAGCTATTGTTCTTGTGCACACCATGTTCTCCCAAAACATCAGAAATCTCCACAGGACCATAGACTGCATCTGTACCTTTAGGTTCTGTCCGTCAAAGGGCAAGGACCCGCTGACCAGTGTGTACAAGATGACGCCCAGGCTCCAGATGTCCACCTCCGGACCGTCGTACTTCTTCCCCTGGAAGAGCTCTGGGGCCGCGTAGGGCGGCGAGCCGCAGAACGTGTCCAGTTTACTGCCCGCAGTGAACTCGTTGCTGAAGCCAAAGTCGGCTATTTTGATGTTGGCGTCGGCGTCTAGCAGCAAGTTCTCCGCCTGCACGAAACAACATAGACAGTGAAACACAGAAGAACACAGAAAAAACAACGGCAGAACTATGATCAGCTGAGTGAATTACAGGAAATGATGCTTTTTCTGCATCGAGTAGTGGATAATACACTTTGGTGGCTGTCATGTATTTTGCAATGGAAGTTGTAGTTCGATCATTTTACTTACTTATGTCTTTTACGATGTCATTCATCAATATTTGCAAAGTAATACATAGTCCGTTTAATATGTGTCAATGATTTAGACATGTTTGTTCATCTGAAGGTTCCTGTTTCATCCTTTATCTTGCGACGTTGTGTAATCACCTTCAAGTCTCTGTGAACAATGTTCTTCAGGTGACAATAGTGCACCGCCGACACAATCTGAGGAGAGAGAAATAACACCAACGATTGAACAGAACGAACACGTAGATGGAAGATAAACTGGGAGCTCCATTCACACAACCCCTCACGCCCCCCTTGAACAACTACATGACTCAACATCACGAATAGAAAGCGGATGGCTGGATTTCTTGCTGTGCGATCGCACCTCCTGTTAGTTTTATGAGGCTCTGAACCACAGTGGAAGAATTCAATCCATTTCTGCTAGCGTCTGCCAAGTTACAATCAAAGCAGGAACTATAAATGATGAGTCACATCAGAGCTCAAGTAGCTCAGAGTTAAGCTCCTGTAATGTTCGGTAAGCATCGTGAACGTACATGTCCTCTTCCTCTCTTATTAATCAGTCCAGAGAGTATGTCGTTATGCTCAATGTTAAACCACAAGGAATGGCCGGCTGTCAGATGTCAACATATAATATATGGACAAAGAGTGGTGAGTTAAGGTGTGAGGTTTAACTGACCTGTCTGAACTTGGCTCTGGCCTCTTTCTCCTTCATTCTGCCGTGAGCCACAAGGTAGTCGAACACTTCGCCTGGAAGAAGGGGGAGAAACAAACAGCATGGCTGTAGTTCTGGCAGGCATGGAAGATGTTTAAAGGCAGGGTTGGTAATCTCCTTCCCCACCTCACAACAAAATCTAACACTTGCAGGAGATGTATGTGAATTCAGAGTCCCTCAGAAGGTGTTCATGTGGGTTTGGGTGTTAAAAAAATCTCCAACACTCCACTGGAGTCTAGAGTCAGGTCTGTGCCAAGCTTGCACCAATAATTCTCCCAGCATTACAAGAACAAATGTGGCGATAACATAAAAAGGGTTGAAACCGGATAGAAGTGTCCTGACTAAAATACATGCGTTCAAGCGTGGGAAGGAGAAAACAGCTATCCATGACTTCCAAGAAGCCTCAAACGTTCCTTCCTGCTGGTTTGTTAACATTATTTTTCAGCTCATTAAAAAAAAGAAAACAGCTAAAAGCTGCTGTCCAGTCAAATGGAATATACGAATCAAAAAATCTTGTGTGTGTCTGCACGCCAAACATTTGACCCGAAATATCCTTAATGGTAAAACGGGCTGCGGTTGAGTTGAACGCAGCAGCATGTCGGCTGGTGAGCTGCTGCCTCCTTATTCGGTATTGGAAGCAAGAGATCACACAACGTACAGAGAGAAGCAGCGGTGAGAGATTAAGGGATCGGGAGGAGGGAAGAAAGAAAAAAGAGGAGCTGCAAAAATAGAGAAGAGTGCATGGGAAACAGCTGAGCGATGTTAAAAGAGCACGATGAGCACAATAAAAGGGACTTCTTCACGAACCAAAATGGGGCCAAAAGGGATTGGACCTGATCGTTTAAACCCTAAAATAACGAGTTCAGCGGTTGTGCTGCATAGCTCGGTCACAGTGATCAATCCAATTAGCGTCGACCAATGGCGATGATGGTGGCGTGGACGTCACTCACCTCCGCTGGCATACTCCATAATCAGATAAAGAGTCTTCTCCGTCTCAATGACCTCAAACAGCTGCACTGTAACACACAGAGGAAGGACGGGCGTTCACACAAAGGCCAGCAGAGAAACACACACCAGATCATTATACAGAGCGGAACTCACCGATGTTGGGATGGTTGAGAGTTTTCATGATGCGCACCTCTCGAAACAGCTGAAAACATAATGTGGAAAAGAGAAAATGAACCGTCAGGCGCCATCATAGGATTACACAAAGCTCTTTATAATTTATAATATTTCACAGATACATTACATAAAATATTCTATAAGGCTCATGGTAAAGGGCTAATGGCTTTCAAATTTCTGTATGGCTTGAATTGGAAAGTTGTAACGTCAGGCTATTTTAACTAACAAAAGAAATATAAATAATAAAACTATCGCAGCATTATCTCGACATCAATACGTTGATACACATTCATGTTCACTCCGTTAAATATTTTACATGAAGAAAATGCTAAAATCAAAACAGTTACATTAGGTAGACTTTTATTGCATATATTTGCACATAATTATACAATAAAACTGTGAACAATACTACAGTAAAATGATCATTTCATTCATCAAATGTATTTGTATTCAGTTAATCCATACAGTCCACAGCTGGTGTAACGACACCGTTCCCTCCAGACCCCCCCACTCATCTCTCCGACCACCTCCAGACCCCGGGCCACCCAGGGGAGTGTCTCACTGATGCTAGGCTGACAGCGGGCCTCCTCCCCTGGGCGTGCTCCCCCACTACCTCCCCCCTCCCCCCACTCATCCATCAATGCTGCCTCATCCTGCCCCTCCCTCCCTCCCTCCCTCCCTCTCCCTCTCCCTCTCATTAAAGTAATGCATTTGTCTGTGAACTCCTTTTTAAAAGATGACAAAGGGAAAAAGCCAGACTAGCTGCATCACAGCGGAACACACTGATGAGGTGTATATTTAACACCAGATGGAATCACAGTAAATTGAAGCTTAATTTCACCACAGTTGATGTCAGGTGAAAATCTGAAGTCACATTAAAGAAGACCCTTAAAATCTGGTTTTAAACCAACATGCACGTGTCACAGGTCCTGATTAACTGCACGCGTGTTCACGAGGGTGTCGGCTTTCAGCCTCTGTGACGCATTAAACAAATGCAATCGAGCCATTCATCCATCATTAGTTGCTTTGGGTTTGGTTATTAGTGTCAATGTGAGACATTCTGACCCTGCAGGGGAAGAGTGTGTGTGTGTGTGTGTGTGTGTAGAGTCATGACAAAAATAACTACAAGAGCAAAGCGTATCAGGACCATTTCTGTATCTGCAAGAAAATGAACAATGTGCAGGAGACGAGGGGCGTAGAGGGAGGAAAAGACAAGAAAACAACGTTGAAGACTGATGTGTTTTATGTGCATTTGGTTTTGTACTAGTAGTGTTGGAGTCATGTTGCTCTGTGAATCCCTCAGCAAACCTGCCTCCTTTAAAATCCTCCAAGAATAAATTACACGAGAGTGGGGAAAAAAAGTGAAAGCGCAGAAAAAACGACAAAGACGAACACAAAAGCAGGAATGCACTGATGCCTTCATTTTTTGTAGCGGACACTCAGCTGCCCCGGGAGACACACTGAGTTACTGACCCGTAGACAGTCAGATGTGATTAAACTGGCTTTCGATGCGTTCCTGAATGCACCGGGCTTCAGATACCAGAGCTCAACAGCAGCCTCATATCACACTGTGTTACGTTACACTGTGTAGCGGCCATGTGTGGAGCGCCGGAGCGATGAAGCAGGTTTTATCCGTCTGCTCAGATTTAGACGTCTAAACTGGGACAAGCGCAGGCTGCCGCCCTACACATCTAATTAAGATAACGTGACATGAACCTCGACTCATCCTTCTCATCCAGGGAGGGCTGACTAAGTGCTCACATACGTGCTGCTTCATATTCATACTGCACTGAATCAATCAGCAGTGACTTTTCATTGGAGCCGCACGGTCTAGGAATTTGCTTTCTCGTGGTGAAGTTCCAACACTTTCCCGATGACATAACTTCATAGTCGCCCGAGGCGATGATGTGTGTATTGCGCCTGTGTTGTGTGCGTTTTCACAGACATCATCACGTTCTCCTGTTTTATATCATTGTAAACTGAAAGTGTTTTGTTGGAGAAGCATTCCCACATGAGAACCACGTCTAGTGACGTCTGGTGACGTGTTAGAAACACTCGTTCTACTCAGTGCTCTGAAAATGGGACGCCTCAGCGTCATAAACACGCACACACACACCCACAGGTCCACTGGGAGTGTGTGTAATTGAATTAAGTGCGCGGTGCATCAGCTGTTCATCTGAGCTTTAAGAAGAATTATCGGCTAAGCCTCTTCCTCCCTCACCGCGCTCTCCTGTACACCCATTCACCTCTCCCTCCTGTACTCATGTTCACCTCTTTCTCTCTACTAGGTCCACTAACAGTAATTGAATCTGTGACCACTGCTAGCTGGGTTGTTACATATTTAGAGATTAAAAACAGCAGCTGGTAATTGTTTCCGAAACAGAGCATGGCTGAAAAAGAGAATCAAAAGCACCATATGTTATTTTTTTTGCTCTCAATCTAAACAGTTTGGGGGTGTTGTGAAGTAGCGTGGGTTCATGGGAGTCGTCGTCTCCACCGCCATTGCAGTCAGCTCCTCCCAGTTAGGACTTCAGTGTTCATCTTTCAGGAGGTTTTTACCGGGAGCAGAATTATCCTCGGAGGTCTCCTCCTCTCCGCAAACAAACCAGGTAAAAACACTGAATGAAGCAGTTTCACGTTAACAATGGGTGTTTCTCCGACGCTGTACAGAGGACACGGGATGCCTCTGCTAACGCTAGCTCAGCTCGTTTCTCAGATAACTACGATACTGAAGCAAACGGGATACGAAGACCAATGAAACGGACTATGGCCATGAAACGTAAAGACAGATTTCTCTACGTTTGAACATTGCTGGAAAGATTTGGGATAATGTATGTACACAACTCACAGCATAGGTTTAGACATTCTGATGCGGAAAGGTAACATATTGAACCTCAGCAGCTGGCCGGGACTTTGAGTCGCAGGTATTGATTGATCAGCTCGATCAATCCTCGGCTCATACTGCCGTCATGTTGTAATAACGTTCATCACACTTTCACCTGCATTTCACAGGTTAACATTGTTTCTTGGTGAAAGCACAAATGTCTGTTTTCCTCCATCGCGTCCGAATGCAGCGTTTGTTCGCTGATCTGACTGAACTCTCTTGCCTTATTGTGTTCACCCTCCTCTCTCCTCTCCTCTCCTGGTTATCTCCCATGGTGATGGGGCCCCCGCGTCACAGTTGCCATGCCAACCCTGGTATTAATCCCTGGGCCTGAGCCTCCGTGACTTCCCGGGGGATTGTGGGAAGTCATGGGACGTCGACCACATGGAGGGAGACCTACTGCCACACAGCTGCTGCCATGTGGAGTCCTGGAATCATGACATGGGTTGATTTTGGGGTTTTAATGAATTATGAGCTTTAAAAGGGAAGATTTGCTCACGCAATGAGGAACTTATTGCTTCAATTGACGAATTTTCCCTTCAGTTCAATTGTGTGTTTAAAACTCTTCCGTGTTTTTAAACTCTTCTGGACAGAAGATGAACATCTACTAACCACTTTTCACAGTTTCAGAAAACATTTCAATATCTGACAGCGGTGTATTATTTCCCAACATCCTTCACTTCTCGTCATCTTCTTCCCTCCTTTCAGGCTGAATGAATCAACTTCTGAGCATTTACATCCTCTCTGTCCTTGCCAGGAATTATTAATCAACTGCTAAGGAAAGCAACCTAATGACCGACTGTCGAGTTCTCTCTCTGCTTTTCTCTTCCTCACTTTGAGACTTGGGTTTGATTCATGTGTCTGGTCTGCCAGTCTGTCCAACATTTGACCTTTCTATCCAGACTGTGTATCCGTATTTTGTCAGTTTTTTCTTCAACGAAAGAGAGAGAGAGAGAGAGAGAGAGAGAGAGAGAGAGAGAGAGAGAGA